GTTTTCTGGATTTTCCCCTGCCATAGCACAGAGAGCTGGCTTCTGTGCCCTGGCCCAGGGACATAGTAAGGGGGTAGCCAGGAAGAAGAGGGGTGGCCAGATACCTCCTGCATTTTGGTAATGCCCCAGCTGGTATAGTAGTCCCTGCTGGAGACTGAGTTAGTCTAGACCCTGTCCTGGCCCTCAGGTGCGGCTCAGAATCTGGACCATTGTATTTTGGATGCTGCATTTTAGATTCATTTTTTCTAATTTAAAGAATTTTTAAAGTGAGAAATTTTGAAGTGAAGGCTTTGGGGTTTTTCGGTTTCTTTCCACTGTGTCGTGCTTCTTTCCTAGGCAGTGGTTACCTTGGAAACAGTGGTAGGGTTGGGATTGTCTGTCTTGGCTTTGACTTTTTGGTGGAGAGTGTGTGTGTGTCTGGAGCACAGATAAATATGCAATAACGTTGCTGGGGAGTTTTTATCGGTATGAACCTGTGAAAAGAAAATAACCCCACTGGAACACCAGCTAGTAGGGTTGCCAGATGGGCTCAACAAAAATCCCGGACACACTTGACATGACATCCCAATCTACATTCCATCTGATTTAGAAAATACCGGACACTTCTATTTTCTCATTTCTATTTTCTTAATTTGTTTCCTGAACAGAAAGCTCAAATACTGGACTGTTCAGTTCAAAACCGGACACCTGGCAACCATACCAGCTAGTCGAGAAGCTTGTAGGAATTAAAGTTCGTAGGTGGGGAAATGAGTCCCAGGCAATTTTTCAATCAAAAGTGTGTTTTCCTCTCCAAAGATTTTGGGGAGTTCTGTGGCCATGTTAGACTAGATGGTTACAGGCCTTGGAATCTCTAGTGAGATGTTATTTTTTGCTTGAACTCCATCGAGAGGCCCCCTCGAGCGGGGTCCCACCATTAAAATCCTCCGCGGGTCCCCCTATCAGGGTCTGCACAGCCCAGTGGCCAGTGTCTGGTCTCAGTCACGCCCCCTCCATCCGGGTCAATACTGCCCGAGGGCTTGGTCTCAGCGGTGCTCTCCTATTGGGGCAAATACGGCCCTGGGGCCTGGTCCTTATCGGTAGGGTTGCCAGACGGTTCCAGCAGAACTACGGGACACACTTGACATCCCCTCCCAATCGACATGGCCTCCGAGTAGGAGGCACCGGACACTGCTACTGTCTCCATTTGCTTCCCGAACAGAACGCTCTTATACTGGACTGACGGGTTCGAAAGCGGAGCCCTGGCTCCCTACTTACCAGGCTCCCCTCTTGGGGAAAATATGGCTTCTGGGCCTCCCTCTGCTCCGGGGCACTGCCGAGGGAGGGATGGGGACCCGGGCCCTTCCCCTCCACCAGGTCCCAGGCCAGGGCCCTATTAGCAGTGGCTCAGTCCACTGCTTGCTCAGCCAGGGCGTTCCCCCTCAACCTGCTGAGCACTCAGGGGCTGCAATTCCCCACCCTGGGCTGCTTCCTACCTCCTTGCGGTTCTCTGCTGCCGTTCCTCTCCCCTGTCTCCAAGGCAGTCGCTGCTGGGCTGGAGTGGCTGCGGCGTCAGTTCAGGCCATGTGGGCTCCTCAGACTCTGGAGCTGGCTCTGCAGGTCCTTCCCCTTCAGCAGTCAGCCCTGAGTGAGCGGTCTCAGGGCCTTTTATAGTGCTGCTCACCAGGGAGCATGCCTGGCAAGGCCGTGGGGGAGGGGCGCTCTCAGCCAGCTGGGCCCCGCCCACAGGCTGATCGACACTGCGGGGTCGGAGCGCCCTGGCCCAAACCCCTTAAATAAATTTAGCATGAACCTTAATACCAAATTAATCTGAAAACAGGATACACACAAAGTGGCCAATAATCCGAGGAGCAGCTGCAGAACTGGGTAGAAAGGGTGAAGGGAAACGCGTTGCTTTTCCTCTTCCAGAGGCAACGAGGGTGCCAGGTGTCCGGGTTTGAACCCGACAGTCCAGTATTTGAACTTCCTGTTCGGGAAACAAACGAAGAAAATAGAAATGAGAAAACAGAACTGTCCGGTATTTTCTAAATCAGATGTCACGTCGATTGGGATGTCATGTCAAGCGTGTCTGGGATTTTTGTTGAAACCATCTGGCAACCCCAGAGGCAACAAGCCTATGAAGAGAGGGGACTGGTTGCTGCTTGGCAGCAGAGAGGTTGTGGAGGTGCAAGATTGCATAGGGAAGTTGCTGCCTCCTTCAAGAAATGGAGAGTGAAGAAAGGTTCATGTGTCCTGCCCCTCCCTTCTGGGGACTTGTGTGGAATAGAGCCTGGTTGGTTGGTTGCCAAATATGAAATCCACTGAAAACTGAGTTTTGGGGCACCACCCAACACGGTCTGCAAATTCATCCAAAACAATTGGAAAAGCAATTCCGAAAGGTCGCTGTTTTGTTCGGACATTTCCTCCCAAAGCTCGATTTTAAAAACAAAATGTAATTTTCAGTCATTGGTGAACACATTCCGTTCCACCCAGACAAAATGGGTTTGGGTTTTTTTTTGTTTCACAGAGAAAAAAAATCAGTTTTGTTTCTAATCAAACAGTCCCCTCCCCCTCGAATTATTAGTTCCACAGACCTGGAAAACCAGTAATTGGGTCACTGCTCATGGGGAAGCCCACCACGAGTGCTGCTCTGACCTCCTTTATCTCCAGTG